GAGAGAGAATGAATTAAAATATGTATTGAAATTTTCTTTACACCTCTAGCCTCTTGCAATAGACACAGGTGAGGGTGTGACAAAATTGGGTTTGGCAATATTATTTTTACTACAAAAGAAACTAGAGATTCTAAATAGGGAGTGTAGTGACTTGAAAGGTAGAAAGTTAAATACAAGTTAATGCCACTAACTTGCCTGAGGTTGCATGGCAAGGAACTTGTGGGCTCAGGGTAGAGAAATCCAAGTCACTTAGTCTGAAAACAGATCTGGCTCATTTTATATGAACTTGATATTGATATATATCTGTAGATTATGTAAATATATCTTGACCAAAATCATCAAAATATTAACGGTATATAGGCAGATTTGGAAATAGTTAAACCTGGGATACAAACTGTCATCCCTAAAAAGCTTGTCATTACAGATTACAATTTCCAAATTGTGGAACACATAGACATGGAAAAATTAAAAGCTTTTGCTTATTTAGAGTGCTCTTGAAATAGTTTATCTGGAGACCCCCATAAAGATTGTTGTAGCACAAAAAAAACCCACAAGTAAAACACCATCCCCAAAATAGAAACAAATTTTGGAAAACCTAACAGTGTGTTAACACACTATTGTCCTTGAACTCTTCTGTGTGGAATATTCTGTAAGGGTACTAAGTTCATTGCTAGCATCTGTCTATCTACAGAACATCCATACCTATGTTTAAAAGGAAAAACACCACAGGTAGATAACAAAAGAACAAAAGGGACCATGCATTTTAGCTTGTTGGTGCAGTAAAAAAAATCTAAATGTGTCACTAGCACTCAAAATATGCCCTCTTGACTTCCTAATGCACAGACTTGTCCGGGAGTAGAAAATATTTGGTCGACCTAGCCTTTCTCTTTAGATAGCCAGTTTCTCCCCCATGGTAATATTTATATTCCACAAATTACTAAATAGATTGGGTTAAAAAATATGGCAGAAAAGGAAGTGCCGTTATATAAGTTGGTTAGATATGTGCCCTGCCTACAAATAACTGAGCTATGTCCTTGTTCTCTACATAAGTTCCAAAATAATGATTTTATGTTTTGATCCATCTCTTTCTCAGGATTACTCCTAATAAATTCTTAAATTGATGAGGATTCACTTATTTCAGTATAAAGTGATTTGAAAGTTTTTTATGACAACTTTATTGTCACTGAAAACTATTCTGAAAGGAATGCCCACTTTCCCCTGAAGGCTTGTTGTATGCCTCACTCCTGTTGGAATGCCTTTGAGAGATTAAACTCATTTCTGAGCAATTGTTTTCAGAAACTCAGTATTTTCTTTCCAGAGCTCATGGCTGGATAGTTTGTAACCTGGTCTCTATCCCATATGTGCCATGTGGTTTTCACACTTATCTCTAAAGGCCAAAGATTATCTCACAGAAGCTCCAAAATGATTCCTGTTTCTGAAATTTATGTGTAAAAGGAAATTTTTAAAGGAAAGAGGGTGAGAATCAAGTTCAAACTTAAGAATTTTTGTAAAGGATTATATTGATGAACAAAAGCTCTCTGGCATTTTTTGGCAGACATGTAAGAAAAGGCAGTGATTGTAATTAATTTTTAGTAAGTGCCGCATATTTGATAATTGCTCTGATTCATGCTATTATATTCCTCTTCCTTCACCCACAGCAAAACAAGCTTAATTTGATTCATGCCCTTAGGAAGAAAAAAAAAAGGCTACGATTACTCACATGGCTATGATTCAGCTCTTGGCTCCCACCACCTCCTCTTCCTCCTCCTCCCTTTCTCCCACCCTGCCCACTCCCATATTCACTCCCACCCAGTTGCCATCAAAAAAACTGAGTCAGTTCGTTCTTTAAAATGGGTGGGGAAAGAAGACAACTAATAAAACTTCTCTGAGGGCAGTATACTCCTTAGATCTGAAATCACTGCAGGAAGACGGGTAAAGTGGCTGCTTATATAACATGAAAAGGCTGGAACGGAGGCAAGCTCTCATAAAAGCAATGTTCAGATTGTCTTATATAAGGCTAGGCACAGTTTGTGTGTGTGTCTGTAGAGGCACACCTATGGCTGCATAGCTATGTTTCTATGAAAATTTTCTAATATTGGGAATCTCACATATACTGTAGACAAAACTAATCATCTGATCTCAAAGTAGGATACCTTGTTTTAATCACAATGAATCTAGCAGCTATCCGAATAGTTTTGATCATTGTAAATTTGTTAGGCCTCGAGTGGACAAGATTCTCCCCAGCCCCAGGAGTTGGGAGATTGGTTTAGAGGGAGGCAGCTGACCCTTCGTGAGCCAATGGTGGTGGCTGACATTATGGAGGCAGTGATTTCTGTTTCTTCCTTGTATTTTTTCATTCCCATTCTTCAGATTAAACAAAAGCCTTGATGAAATAAAATGACTTTCCCAAGTCCCTTCCAGAGCCAGTATTGGAACCCAGGCTGTCTGACTGCATCGTTACCTGTAGTTCTGGTTTATGAGAACTTGACACAGTTGGATCATGTGGAGCTTGCCTGGGGACAGGAGTGGTGACTGGAAGGAAGCTTTATGTGGGGGTGCATTCGAGTAAAACCCTAAAGGGAATCTTTTGGTAAAGTGAATATTCAACTCCCAATTTAGCTGTTTTTCACTGTCTCGGGGTATATACCTTTTCTCTGCCCTCTTCTACCAATTTGAAAAGTAGGTATTTGAGCAGTTTTATATGTTAAATAACAAAATTAATTACACATTAAGGTGTCATCCAGGCAGTTGCTGACTTTGCTCAAGGTTAAAGGAAGTATGCTGAAAAGAGACAACTGCAGTTAAACTGCTCAAATCGAGCCTTCCAGATTTTTTGTGTGGGGACTTGTACTTCTTCTTACTGCATTCTTCCTGGCTGTGTAATACCTGGGAACCATTCATTCCATGTAATGCCACCCCCATCTTGGTGGTAAACTTTTAACTGAAGAGGAAGCCTTTTAGGCAAGTCAACTTATGTAATTTGAACCTTCACAGATGACATTATGATGGTTTTCAAGTTTTTATTTTGCTGCTTTTAGGCAAGTTGGAATTAAAAGACGGTGCAGATGTGTGTGTGTGTGTGTGTGTGTGTGTGAGTGATGTGGTTATATTTCATGTGTGCTAGCGTGTGAGTAGCTCCATTTAGAATGTGCATTGCAGTAAATGCAAAAGTGAAAGCTGCAACATGACTGTTATGTTCCCCACCACTTCCTGAAGAACCTGCCACATGAGCCCCAGACTTACAGACTTAAACTGGGGTCCTCAGGACAGAAAGAGCCCTCCACGGTAAAAAGTCTCCAGTAGACCTACACGTATACAATCTGTTACTGCTGTCGTGTAAACGCAAATGTTTGGTTGCCTTGGTTGTATAGCTCTCAACAAATAATTCTGAAGCTTTCAATATTGGGGAATAGAACCCAAAACTTGCTATACCTTCAAAGTAATAACTTGAACTTCCTCGTTTACATGATCCAGTTCTTTGAAACCATTTAGAAAGTGCATTCTGCTCCTAAAATGTCCAAGTTATAAAAGAAAAATGTGAGCTTGTCAGATTAACTACAATCCCCAGTCTAATAAAACTGAGTCACATCCAAATGGTCTGCACTTACACTACCCTCCCCTTCTAGGGAAAATGTGTCTGGGGGAGGCAGTCTGAGTCATCACCTGGTTTGTTTGACATACGCTTCCTTCCATAAATTGGGAATGGCAAGCAGCACAGTGTTCTGGGCTTGTCTCAGGGAAGGAGCTGCTGCTGCCTTGCACAATCAAAATAGGGCCTTTAGGTTAAAGGATGAAGCTGAGCCTATATTTTGCCTTGGGATGCTGGGGGTAGGAAGAAAATGACAGACCCTAACAAAGAACATTTGTAAGTACCATCTGGGGTGAGGTGGGATTGGGGGTGGGAGGCTTGTGTCAAAGAAATGGAAGGAGTGTTCATAATTTTTCCTAGGACATAAGAAATATTTAAGAAATAAATTAATGGTGTTAAAATAAATAAGGGGGACCCATTTCCTTAAGAAGAAGGAACTTGATGTGAACAGTCTAAAGTGATTGCATGAAAAAGGGCGGGTGTAAGAGGTATATTATTTGGTGGTTACCATACAAATTTGTCTTGACAATGTTTAAGTTTCCCTGATTTACCCAACCATTTATGAAACGTTTTCATGGCAAACTCTGAATCTTCTTTAGGGGTATTTTGAGAGAATGAGGAGAGAAGAGGTTCATGTGCCTCACACATTTTTCTTACAATGGCTTTGCAGAGGCTTACCAAAGCTTTTAAAAATAATTGAGAAAGTAAAATTGTCACCGAGGCTGTAGAGGAAGGGTAAGGAGGAGTAGACTTATAGCTGAAGTGGCTTTGTAAACGCAGTCTCTGTTTTGGGATTGTTTTTTAATATGTGCCAGGCATTCCTCTGATTTCCATCCTGATTTGGTTGTGGCTATCTCTCTGTCTGTGTGAGGCTTGGGTGTTGCCTGTTTAAGAGCCGGAGTTGTCTCAGCCTGGGCGTTTTCTGTTTCGGCTTATAGCTCCCCCCCCCCCTTTTCCTGAATGAGTGTCCTTTGTATAACCCCAGTAATTCAGAAATCCTGCAGAGGGACTGCCCTGTCATGTGACTTGGGTACTAGGTGCTGCCTGTGATTGGTCAGCAGCTAATTGGCGGGTCTCTATAAGAGGTCCCACTTCTGGAGTCAGGCCACTCTCCTGCCTGGGCTGCTACTCAATGGGCGCCAGAGGGTGGAGAGGGACGGGTGTCCAGTGATTCAGCCACATGTGATAGATGACCAAGTGACTGCTTGCTTGGAGTCCGTGCATCAGTGGAAGACACCCAACGGGTGGTGGCTGACTTGATCAAACTCTGGCTTCCTGAACTGGTAACTGTCACTTTAATAGAGCTTACTGATTAAACTCAGAAAAATGCAACTAAAACTCTTTGCCAGGAACTTGTGTGGACTTACTCCCTGTCTACCCCCACCCCTTGTTCTTATTCGTTTTGTCACAGGAATGAAATGCAGATAACCCTTTAGAAAGCTTTTGTAGGAAAGCACCTCGTGTGATCTGGAACAAAGACATTATATAATCAGATTTATCAAGCTGTGAAGAGGGAGTTTTAGCGAACAGAAGCAGCATTCTGTCACCAGGAAATACTGCTTTATCCAGAATTGGTAAGTTGAAAAATGGCATTGCTCCCTAATAGATATCATATGGTGTGTGGGGGAATTGTGAAATTGTTCACAGGTCCCTAACAACTGTATTGAACCACAGAACCCATAAACAGAGTGAGGAATTCGAAAAAGTAGCAGCCCAAGAATATAGCATGAAGGCTGAGAAGCAGCCAGGTAATTAACAAAGATTAACTGAGCATTGCCAGTTTAGGCAAATATATGTAATACAACTAATTTGGCTCTCCCCCCTTTTTACCTTTTCCTTTTTAATGGGGGGAATCAAAATGGGTTATTTAGTAACACTGTAGCATTAACTTCCATGGATGTAGATTTCCACTTAGTATGGATAGCATGTATGATTTTTGGAAGAACGCTTTTATAATTAGGCAACTTGCCCTCCTTTTTCCATCCCTCTACCTAAGGATGTCAAGTATTTAGTTAGAACTCTACAAAATGAAAGTTTAAGTAATGCATTAGAGACATTTCTTACTGATTATGAAAGGCAGATTAAGATGATAATAGATTTTTTTTACATTTGTATCATGCATTTTAAGAGTGTTCTATTTGATTCCATTAATATCGCAAAAGAGTAGTTTTTTCCATATGGTCCATTACACTTTGAAAGGTCCTGATGAGCAATTCTTACTGGTGAGCCTGTCTATCTTTCTCCAAAACTTTTAAATTGTTTTCTAATCTTGAATCTGAACTTCCTTTGTGTTTAAGTTGTCCAGAAGAATACAATAAAGCTTTGAATACCTGTGTTCCATACAGTAGGTTCTTGTTCATGAACTCTAAGGAAACAAGTTTATATTAGGCATGAATGTCTGATTTCTTTTCTTGGCTTTTTAAGAATTGTTTTTGCTGGAAAAGTTGAATAGAATAAGAAAATACTATTAGAATGGTGGGTGACTACCTGATTTTACCAGTTTATTAATGGTCAATAGAAGCAGTCATGTGATATATATTTATAGAATCAGATAGAAAAGAATTGTTCTTTAACTGTTAGCAACAATATAGGTAACTTTGGTGATCTCTCTATATAAATGTGAATTCATAGAATTAAAGCAGTTATCAGAGTTGTGCATTTGGGGTTATATAGGATATAATATTATTTATTTTGTTTTCAGTATCTTAAGCCAAATTGAAAGTTGAAGCTGCATTTCTGACTTGGTTCCCATTCTGTTGCTTTCAAAATCTTAAAATTCATAACTTGAAATGGAAAATGTATAATAAAATGCAGGCTAGCAATGCTGTAGTTCTCTCTGGCACTAGCGTGGGATGAGGGTGGAGGAGAGGGAAATGAATCCATGGGGATATATTAATTGGTATTTTTTCTTTCATAATTTGAGAATGTTAAAGATTGTTATTCTCAAACAGCTTTCAAAGACATAGACAAAGAGCAAGATAAGCATGGCCTTTAGGGGCAGGTCCTCCAATAAATCAGATCGATGATGCAAGTGTGAATATTACAATTATTTGACTTAATTAAGGTGTGGCTGAAGATGTGGAAAAAGTCTACTCATTTCCTTGAAGCACATGAATTTATGGGTTTTAGAGTCTTGAAGACAGAAAAATGGTGATGAAGAATTAAGATATTGACAGGTAATTTACATCCAACTCCTAGTTGTATGCAGTGATTCACAAGTATTTTCAGCTCTATTTCATGTAATTACTTGGGCAAAATATGATGATTTAACAATCAAGCTAAAGACTGCCATGCTTAATGGGAAAAAAGCCTCTATATAATTTGTAGATTTGACTCATCCATTTAGAATCCATTGTCGTGAATGAAAAAACAAAAACAAAAAACGATAGAAGCAGGCTGAAACAGTAAATGCTGGAAAGTATTTTCCAGAATAATTCTTTTAGATCTTCATGATTTCAGTTCTGTTTGCTGTGCTGTTATTTACAAAAATATATGAAAAATAAATAACATAGCATGTCCTGAATTCTCCACTGGTGTTATTGAAAGTATTAATATCGTGTAGACTCTGTAAACAGTGTGCATGTGTCTTTGTCTTTATGGGTATGTAAAGATACAAACTAAAAGGAATCTGGTCAAGTGACAGACCTCAAATTAGTTCCTCCCAAATTTTATTTGGTATTTTTATAGTCAGAAATAGAAAGGCTTTCCCTTTGGGCTTGTTTCTTACATTTTTGATGTGGTATACCTTTTTGCCAAATTTTTCAAGGTATGTATATGTATGTGTTTATATACTTGATTGGAAGGGGGAGCTTTAATTGCTAGCAAAACAAGTGGGTGTTTGTTAGAACCTAGATAAGCCTCATAGTGTTGTTCCTATGACAACTGAGGGGTTGGGTGTTGAAATGTAGCTTTAAGTTCTCAGTTTGGAAATGTCATTCAGACCTCCCACCACAGTCTTATTGAGTAGGAGGATAATGAGAAGGGGGGAAAAAACCACGAAGCAACATAAGTATCTCCATTCTTTTCATGTCTTCCTGACTTGTCTTTGTGTATGGATCACATGGGGATGGTAAACCCTAGGTCTTGAACAAAGCAGTGCTTCAGTATAAAATAAATGGAAAGTTGGGGAAGATAAATAACAAACAGGGGTAATAGGCAGAAGAAGTTGGCTTCCATGGGTTTGTGGAAGTCTTTTATCCAGCGCGGACCAGCAGTGAGACCATCTTGAATGAGTTACTGTATATCTCTTCAAGAGCTGCAAATATTTCCTTAAAATTCAATGTGGAGAAAATTCCTTTGGAAGCAGGATAGTTTACCACTTTGGCATAATGCTTATTTATCTCCCCTAGGCTGATTACAGAGGACACTATTCTTTTAAGGTGCATGCTTTTAAGTCAATTATTTCTCATTTAATAGCTTGTCTTTTTTTTTCCTATGGGAAAGATAAATCGTGCTATTAAAAAGTGGTAAACTTGGGTATTTTACCCTATGTTCAAAAATTACTTGAAAAAAAACCCTTAAAGACTGTTAGAGACTGGTTGTTTGTGGAAATGATTTGGTTGACTGAGAATCTTATGGCACACTGTATTGGGGGGCAAAGGTTGTTTAGACTAATTTTGGGGATCGATTAGTTATGCAGTGTGGATTTTCCATGCCTAAAGGGCTTCCTACTTTCTACTCTTAAATGGTTTTTACTATTTATTTGGTCATTAGCATATCCAGAAGTTAGAAAGGAAACATAGACTTCAATGGGTTTTACCCCTTACTTAATATATAGGTCCACCATCTCTATTGAAATCCAAAAAGTTCTGAAAACCAAAAGATTTTAATGTCAAAAACTTGGTAGCAGATCATGACCTGAACTGATGTGAAGCTATTTGTAGTCTTTATCTCACTTCATACAAATGTTAGTATGTTTTATTGTAGCAATATTAGTATGTTTGGTCATGGAGTGCTGCACCAGACTTGCCTGGAATTTTATATTGATGGAATAGTTACCCTATTAAATTTACAAAATTTCAGATAAGGATTTGTGGACTTCGAATTACTGATATGCGTGGAGCTTATATTATGTGCCAGGGATATAATTATCTCCATTTTACATGGGAAACTAATGCACAGAGAGGTGAAGCAACTTGCCCAAAGAAACACAGCCAGGAAATTGTAGAGCCAGGATTTGGAAGCCATTTGTCTAACTGCAGCCTACTCTTAACTGAGAATGCTTATAACAGGTTCTCCTAGCGGGGAGTGTGCAAGTTCCAGGGGTCTCAGAGGCTCCTAATCTCTTCACAAGTTTCCTAACATTGATCTCTATCAACAGTCTGACTTCTTTAGTTGGGAAAATGAAGACACAAAAATAACTCTTTCCTTAGCCCCAAGGAACTTATCTTGAATAGTGGGAAAAGTTATTGCGTAGACATTCTCTGGGTCCTTAACTCCAGCAAGAGATCTGGGCTGTGAGGAAAGAGGGCGTGGATCATCTCGGAGGGGATGAGCTCCCTAGCATGGGAGCCACACTAAGACAAAGCAGGGCTCCCAGGGGGGGAATCAGGCAGCAGCCTTCATGCCTCTGAAAGGATACCTTTTTTTAAAAAAATTTTCTTTATTGATTAAGGTATTACATATATGAAAGGATACTTTTAACAGTACTTCAAGAAAGTATATAAGGTGTCTCTCTAATACATATATATTTCTGGGGATAAAAAACTCATTCCATGCTAATAGCAACTTCCCCATTCTATTTCCCAAATTCCCTATCCCTCTAACCTGCTTAATTTCCTTGTTAGCATTTATCTCTGACATATTGTAGGCTTTACTTATTTATTCATTTGGTATTTTAGTCAAACCCAGCAATAATGTTATCTTTGAACAAATTTAAAGTTTCAAATTGGTTTCTCTTTGATCTCCATCTGCAAACTAATTTTCTCCTGTCAATCTTAGACTACTAGAAATAATTAAGTTTTTTTGCTTATTGGATTATTCTCATTATTAGTTATCATTTTTATATTCACAGCTATGGAAATTTCTTTATCTTAAACAAACTGTTTTGATTGTGCAATCAGAATTTGGAGGACTGCAATCACTGAGTATTTTTAAATTCCATAAGATTGTAATTAATTGCAAAGGAGAACATGCATAGTAAAATATTTTTATATTTTGTGAACTACTTTCAACTTAGATAGGGAAGTGTGGAACTATACATAACATTGAATCCAGCAAAAAAATTAAAACTATCTATGGGCTACACTTTTCCTTTGAAAAATTAATAATATCAATATAAAAAAATTGTTCTTCATGTTATGCTAAAAATTGTAAATGAATTAATCTTGGACATTTCCTGGCTCAAGTTCTTAAATTCTCAACTGCAGCCTATTGTCTTTTAATCCTATATTTATTCTAGTTTATGCATTCTGAAGTATTAAAGATAATATAGAACAAAATTTAGAAATACATATATATTTACTATACTAGTAAATACTGTGATCATGTAAATACATCACTAGAGCATTTATATACTTGATTTTCTTTTAAATTCTTAAAAGAACAGATTAGATGCATGTAAAAGTTAAATATAATATGCTTTTGTAAGTCAATATAATAATTGAGATACTTTACTTTTCTTAGCTATATTTTAATAACACAATAGTTTCCAGTTACTTTCTTTTAAAGGTTGATCTAATAAAGTAATAATTTGCTTAAAAATGAAATGTAACTGGTTACTTTAAGGTAGAAGATGGAGTCACTGATTCTGAAAAGCTAAGGTTTTATTTTAAAGGATCTTCCTTTCTGCCTGGAAGAGCTGAATCTCCTGAAGCACCTAGTCTACAGAAAGCCCAATGTTGGTGGTGGTATTGTTAGAAAGCTTACTTTTTCCACCTTTTCTAAAAGCAGATGGTTAAAGACTTTTTAAATGAAAACCCATTGATTTCTCTCAATTAGGATTTGAGTGGCTAAGGTTGTTAAAATATAAAAAAACACCCTGTGAGTTTGTACAGGTCCAGCAACATTTTGCAGCGCCCTTCCAAAGTTCTGGTTACCTGAAAAAATTCTCCAAACCTCCAGACATTTTGCAGTGGGTATCAAATACATGACAGCGGTTACCAGGACCGCAACAAGGTGCCTGCTCACAGCATCCGTTACAGTGTTTGCTCCTTAAGGGGCCCAGGCTGCCTTTGCTCCCTGCTAGCTGAGTAAGCGACTCCATTTATTTCCCTAAGCCCCAGAGAGTGGAGTGTCAGTACTAGCTCACAAGGCTGCTGTATTAAATTAGATAACACATGGGAAGCACATTCTGTGGTCCCTGGAGTAATGGTGCTTAACACATTTGAGTTCCCTTCCCAAATCCTTTAAAGAACAGACTTCAGTTTAATCTTAAACCCCATGGATCCATATGTATTTTTTTCATATCAGGTTAAGTAAAACAGTGATGACAATGGCGGCTGCCATTTATTGCATACTTAACCATGTTCTAGATAGGCACTATGGTATTAGCTCTACTTGCATTCAACTGCTCAATCTTCTTGATAATCCATTGGTTCAATTATTGTGCCCATTTCATAGATGAGGACATCGAGGCTAGTAAGGTAAAAGAATATGTTTGACTGCTCAGCTGATAAGTTGTGGAGCCAGGCTTTAAATCCAAATAGGCGGTTGCCAGTATAGATGGAAAGTACTTCTTTCGGGCAGAAAAGGAGAATAAAAGTTGACTGAACCCGAAAGTCTCAGAAATGGCCTTCTCATTTCAAATTTGCAAAGTGTCACATCTGCCAGGCCTGGCCCTCTCAGTATTGAAATACAAAGTTGACTTTTTCTGTTTCTTATTTTACAAATCAACAGGAACAGTTTTAGTCATTTGTGTTTTATGAAGTTTTAATTAGGCCACTGAAGTCCATGAGGGGAATTCCTTGTTTTCAGTTGATCTCATGCACTAACAAATTTACTCATGTAACTTCCCCTATTTTTTTCTCTAATGTTTTCACTTGAAAGTGGGGGTGAAAGGGAGAGCTTATGTGAGCATTTGAGTCCTAGGGATGTACTTTCAGCAACCTCTCTGGAGATTCTTCTATCTGGTATACAATTAATCCATAGAAAAGTAAAATGAGTAAGAATCTATACTTACTAATATTTTTCTCCTTTATCACCGTCTAGTTTTAGGTGATATCTAGAGGGGTAAAACGTCTAAGTAAATAATTATAAGAAGCCATCCGTTTGTATAAAACCTTATCCTTGGATAAGGGGTTAAATTTTCAGAATATGAGAAAGGGGATTCACATTGAGAGTTTCCTCCTCTATCAGATGTAGGCTGAGAATTTGACTGAGAGGGGAAGCAGGCTACCCTAACCCATGGGTTCAGAGTGCTTAGAAATCTTTTTTTAAAAATCTCCTGGCCTTGGACTGAGGCTGTCTGTAGGAGGATATAATAGTCATGCCTGCCTTCATTCTTTTATTTGTTCAATTGTTCATTCGTTCATCCACTATCTTCCATAACTCATTCAGCACCTACCTGCAGATGGATGAAAGAAAGG